TATGTACATCAAGACAAATTATTTATGAAAGGAAAAGTGGAGTGAAGCCAGTAATGGGAGGAACATCTAGCAAAGAACAGAAGATAACTCTGTGCCAGAGTACAATGCCCTGATCTAAATACAAAGTTGCACTGCATACATTTAAATCAAACATAGATGTGATTCTAACCAATTCACTTGAACTGGTGTCACTGGTGTCAGCACTGTTAAATGATTTTAAACCTGGTTGTTTCTGTTTAGCTGACACCTGTATTATTTATTTATATTGTATTTACTTGTATTACTTGTAAAATTACAGGTGTGAGCTAAATTTTATAAAAACGGTCTTAAACAGATGCCTACATAGGTTTATATTAGTTCTTTAAACTAATTTTTAAAGCAATTCAGTGTAAATCGGGGCAGCTTTGATAGAAAAAGTTTAGGCTTGGTCTACACTATGAGTTTAGGTCGAACCTAGGGAGGGTATGTGGTCCTGCTGTGAAGGCAGGGGACTGGACTCAATGACTTTTCAAGGTCCCTTCCAGTTCTATATGAGAGGTATATCTCCTTAATTTTTTTTTTAGCTATGTTAGGTCTATTTTCTAAACACCAACCCCATTCTGTTGACTTTAAAGGCTGTTAAAGATGATTTCTGAACTCCTCTTTGGCAAGAGGAGTAATGCTAAATTTGACATGGGGGGATGGTTTACAGGCCAACACTTAATTCAGTGGGTACCTTATTAAGAGCAACATACATGACTCATGTTGCTGTCTTGTCATTCACAAAACTAGCTTTCAAAGCCTCTATGATTCTCACTGCTCCTTTATGTATTCACCTAACCTTTAATTATGAACAGCCAGAAACCAGGGGAATGAGATCTGCCTCAACCCTCCCATCCCACCGGAAAAATGTCCCCCCTTTACTTTCACAGATATTGTGGACTACACAGAAAGTTGCTACATCAATGGGAATGTTGCTTTTGCTGTCAGTCAGTAAATTGTGAAACGTTTCCTTCAAATATTCAAAACCACATTCTGTCACTTTTCTGCATTTGCTCAGCCTGTAGTTGAACTACTCCTTACTGCTCTCCAGGCTGCCTGTGTACGGCTTCATGAGCCATGAAGGAAGTCAACATCCAAAGAAACATTTCAACATCTTCAATGGTAATATTTTGGTCTGGGGAGAAAGTTCCATCTTGCAACTTTCTGACAAGACTAGAGTTCCTAAAGCTGTACGTGTCATACATTTTTCACGACCATCCCATGTTGATGTCGGTGAAATAGCCTTTGTGATGCACTAGTGCCTGCAGTACCATCGAGAAGTACCCTTTGTGGTTTATGTACTCCTTTGCAAGATGGTTGGGTGCCAAGGTAGGGATATGTGTTCCATTTATCACTCCACTAAAGGGAACCCCATTGTGGCAAGCCATCTACTATGTCCTGCACATTTCCCAGAGTCACTATCCTTCCTAGCTGAAGGGTATTTTGATTGCCTTAGTTATTTGGGTCACAGCAGCCTCCAATGTAGATTTACCCACTCCAAATTGATTCCCAACTGACAGTGTTGCAAGCAATGTTCTCTCTAATTTTTTTCATCTGTGATCAGAATAAATTTTATGTACACTGAGGCATGCATGGATGTGCACTACCAATAGAAACACATTCTCCATCTGCTGCTGGCTGTGAGCACTCTGCTAATCAGCTGGGTAGCATTTTAATTTCTCCTGGCCTATGTCTAGACTACAGAGTTTTTCTGGGATACTGCATTTTTTTTGAAGAAGAAGAAGAGCAAACATGCGCTTTCGGAAGCCCTGTCTTCCTCCTCCCACGAGAAAAAAAGGGCTCTTCCAAAAGACATTTTTTCCAAAATTTGACCCAGTGTAGATGGGCCAAATTTCAGAAAAGCCTCTTCCGAAAAACTATCGGAAAAAGGTACGCACATTGTGGAGCGCAATGTGCGTACCTTCTTCCAATAAAGCCCCGTAGTATAGACATAGCCCTGGGCTCCTGCCCAAGTGCTCAGGTTAGAAGGAACAATAGGTGCAAGCTTCCACAGGGCTATTGTACTCACTTCTTAACTGTCAGAGCAGGTCTCATTGTGGTTATTGCTGTGCTTCAGGGTAGGGGAAAGCAATTCGCAAGGTCCCATGAAAGTAGTCTTATACATGTGAAAGTTTTGCAGACACTGCTTATCATCCCATAGATACATAACTGTGGTCCTACCAGTCTGTGCTTGTCTCCTGGGACCAGAACCAGCATTTCACTGTGACAGCAGGATCAACTGCTGCCAGCATACGCCAATTGCTCCACTCAGTGATTTCATGCGTGTCTATGTTCATGGCCTCCTCACATTCTTCCTCGCTCTGGTGGTTCCTGGCTAGGCTCTGGACGTACTGCAGCATAATGCACAAGGTGTTTGCAACATTTGCCACAGCAGTTGGAAGTTGAACAGGATCCATGCTTATTCTGTTACGGCATCTGCATGGATAAGAAGGGTGAAAAAGGGCACAAAAAGATGCTTTGCCATTGTTTTCAAGCGGGGCGGGGGGGAGGAGATAAGTGCAATATAGGAGGTTGAC